ATGCGTCCAGGGAGGCACAAGATGCATCCATCCAAAGAGTCAAGCCTTTCACGAGCACTCGCTCTGTATCAAGCATCATCTGCTCAAATCCACTTCCCAGAGTCCTCCAGATGCATAGAGAATGAATGATGACGCTTACTGAGGAGGTCCTTCCTGCTCAGACTTCTTCCAGAGACGATGCGAACTTGAACCTTTCCAGTCATGCTTTCTTTTTGGGTTTTGATGAAATTGTCACACTGTGTTGAGTGGAAGAGAAGAGAGGACGAAAGTAGTTTGTGTCAACGTCTGATTACGATTTCGATATTAACAAGGATATGTAAACAGGCAATTATAATCATTTGAGGGATGAGGTTGGAGAGATTTGGTGGGAGAGCCGATATCCGATGTCGGTATCGTTCTCCCCCGAAAGGTGATTAACAAGAAGAAATCAAAAATAAGGGAATGGCAATACGAAGTTTGAATCATTGCAGCCATCTCAAGCTCACGAGGTCCCAGACACGTGTGAACAAAATAGGATTCAGAGGATTACGGATAAATCTGAGGTGGTGGACTTAAATGCACACGAATGATTAACGGCGTTGGGTATTGGCTAGTTTAGAGGCGAAGGTTGGCGTTGATGCAAGCAACGCTGTCCCTGTCCTTTGTCAGGATGTCAATGTGAACAGAGTATCGGCCCTTTTAACGTCAAAGAAATAAATGTTATTACCAAACGCTGTAAAATTAAAGGTGTCGATTCGAAATACTCACAGGAGGAACCTCGTAGGGGATGGTAAAGGTCTGCTCAATGACGGTCTCGCCAGCAGGCAATGGGCAAGATTTTCCGATGCCTTCCAGCTTCTCGCACAGGTCCATCTCGACATCCAACAACTTGATGGGTCCCATCTTGACCTGAGCCTGATTTGTTTGATTTTGAATACCTTTGAGTTAGATACTGGTGGTTTCAAAGGAAAGGAGATCAAAATGTCCAATCCTGGTGATGTCCAGAAAGGTTGGGTATCCACAAGGCGCTTTTCGACGGCACTTCCAGCCATTCACACTCAATTCAACCCTCTACAATCTGTGGGCCTAGCTGAGGTGGTTTTGGTCCTCCAAAGTGCTGAGCTCCATCCTTTTACAATGTGACAGCGCATGTGCCACATTTTGCCCCTAACTGCCATCGAAACAGATCCCTCACCTTCATCAAGGCACCCTTTCCAACGCTCTCCTTCAGGTCCCCAACAGCCTTCAGGGTAACCTCCTTGCCTTTCTTCGGTTGCTCGGGGACAACCGTCAGCTCAGTGATGGAGAGAAGATCAGTGGGAGTTCCGCAGGAAGTGACAGGAGAGTTTCCAGAGGAGGCAGCTGCGGGAGCAGGAGCAGGAGCAGGGATGGGTGAAGGAGAGGCCAATGCCCCCAACGACGATGAGGCAGCGATGACGGCGATGACGGTGACGATGGCCTGTTGTTGTGTCAGAAGATGCATTTTTGGGGGAGAAAGAAGGCAAAAATTGGAGGTGATACAAGAGATGTTTTGAAGCGGGCGAGGAGAGGCTCAGATGGCATGACTATCTCTATGTGAACGTTCTCTATGCGATTTGAATAAGAAATAGAATAATGAGAGTTGAATAATATGTGACTATTAAGAGTATACAGTAAAAACAATTTAAATAACATAACACAAGGGTGGAAGGTCACATATCAAACCGACAAATCGGCAACTTGTACACGTCCAGCGTGAAGTACGGTCTTCTGACCCCGTTCCAAACATCATCGCCCAGCTCATCCATCTTGATCTCGACAATCTCGCTTTTCAAACCAACATCAGAGAGATCCGCCTCTGCGACAGCACATGACACCTCGTGGAAGAAGGGGTTGGAACCAGAGAGGCCGTTGAAATACGAGTAGATGCCATCTTCGCGGAGGATATTGGGGAGATGATCGTGGAATTGGCGAAGGTCGTCGTAGAATTCTAAGGAACGCCAGGGTTAGCGTTGATGTATCCATTGCCAACAAACATAGAACCAGACCCACCTCCGAAAGTGTCGAAGAAAATGCCGTCATAAGTCTCGAGCTGATCCATGACATCTTGCCATCTTCCAAACAAGATTCTCACTCCAGGCTTCTTGTCCCAACCGTCCTCAATCATCTTTTTGTAAACGTCAGGGTGAGCCTCAATGATCGTATGCGTCTTGGGTTTCCGTGCTTGCAAGTACCCATCCACAAGACCCATCCCAAACCCAACATTCAAAACGTCGAGTCCTTCTCTCGGCGCAATCACCTCTGCATGCCGTTCCATGAGCGGAGCTTCCCATCCCATCATGACACCATCCGCATTGTCGTCCAGAATCCTTCCCTCGGAGAAATGAAGCTTGCTCGCAAGGTAATCAGCATTCGAAGGTTTGCTATCATCCTCATCGTCTTCCCCATCTCCGGATGGGCCAGCCTCCGGCTTCTTTCCCAAAACCGCCAAAATCATCTCAACCCTGATGCCCTCGTTCAACAACAGATCCCAGATCTCTGGGAATCCAGCATCCCTTGCATCCTCGGCCGCTGTTCTGTGTTCGAGGTCGACAGCGTTCCATTGATGGCCTTGGGTAAGGAGGTATTGAACTGTTTCGGCGTTTCCTTGGGCAGCAGCGAGATGGAGAGGGGATTTTCCGGTTGTAGGCTCCCGGTACCAGATGGAGAGAGGGGATATGGTGACGATAGAATTGGCTGTTTCGAGGTCGTTATCTTGGATCGCTTTCATGAGCGAGGGGCCGTTCGGGTCGGCATCGATGGCGTTGGTATCGCTCATTCCTGCCAAAGTGAAAGTGAGGAAAGAAAAAAAAAAAAAAAGAGACTAGGAGTTGATAGAGTTTATTGCTTCTTCATCGACTCGTGATGCTTCCGTTGAAGCCAAGAGCACGAGGAGCGTTATCATTTGGCTTGGAATCGCCAAATCCACATCCTCCATCACGCTGAAGGGCAATAATCGCACCAGCGCACTTGCCAGTGCAAAAACCACAGCATCCAGAAGCGCAGTCGTCGTCAGAGGTGCACACGTCGGTGATAAAGTCTTCTTCTTGGGAGCTACAGGTGCAGCAGGAGTACCAGTCTTTGGAGCATCGGATCCAGGCGAAGCACCACCAGATACGCCAGCAGGAGGCAAAAAAACTCATTCCCCTTGCGGTTGCCATCGACTGCCTGCTGAGCGGTTCCAACACAAGGATTGCTGATCTTGATACCTCCGCAAAATCCTCCGACACCAGCCTTGAGCAGGTTGGACTCAAAGAAAGGGTTGACGTTGATGGGAGCCACCTTGCCATGGATGCATCTTGCATTGCGGGCAAGGTCGACGCAAACGAAAGCATTCTTGATTTCGGCACACCCTACTTCGACAGTTCGCTTTCGATTGTTTGGGATGACCTCCGGAGGATGAGGGGAACCAAGGCGGCGTTGTTGAGGTTTCCGGCGTTCTTGGATAGGAATTCGAGACGTTGAGCATCGGATACGGCAGCTTTTCTTTCCTTTTCCCTTCTTGTTCTTCTTCTTCTTGCCCTTCTTTTGGTTTGTCTTTTTCTTGTTCTCGTTCTTGCCAGGAGAACTGTTGGCACCTCCTACACCATCACCAACGGCCCAAAGCGGTCGGGATCCTAGCGAACTTGTCCGTATCCGTGTCGCAAGCCGGAGAAGCCCCACTCTTGCGGAAGAACCTGACACGGCAACGAAGCGGCACACGCGACAGTCTTTTGAATCTTTCCTTTAGTGCAGAGGCAGACAAAAAGACCACAGCAAGTGTCGTTGGTACAAGCATCACCATCCTTTGCGGTTGCTTTTGCTGGATCAAGATTTTGAGCAAGACGGCCGTTCTCGACCTTGACGTTTTTGAGCTCTGGCCTGGAGGGACCTGGATTCGTTGGAAGATAGCGCCGAGAATGCGAATGGAGCAGTGGAGATGCTGGCAAGGAGAATAGTGAGCTTATTGACCATTTTGGGCGTTGGTATAGACTTAATTTTTTGTTATTTTTTGGTATTGAGCTTCCTATTTTCTTCCTTCCTGAAGGACGAAGAAATGGGTGACACAAAGCCTGGTAGAGCCGAACACAAAAATATTTATAAGTGATGGTTCCCTGTCAAAACCCTTCTGGCTGCATCCCCTTTCGCGTCCGCTCGCTCTTAGATCTTTGTCTCTCGCTCAGCAACGACACGACATCAGCTCCGCCAATGAATCGCATAACAGACATGCGTATGCACTGACTATATGTATTGTTTAAGACCAAACCAACATGAACGTCCCCAAGATCAGAAATATTTCCTTGGCTCTTGACGACGTCGCCAAGGCCTCCATCGTCTCTGCTTTTGACGCCTTTTCGACCGTTGACTGCAGTACTGACAAGCAATGCGCCCAAACGGGATTCAATCTTGCCACCGAAGGCTCTTCCAATTGCCCCGAGTGACCGACAATGGCACCCCTGTGAACACTCCCTCTACTTTAAGGACCTGACCGCCCCTCTACTTCAGGACCTGACCGCCAAGATCAGCCAAAGCAGCATTTGCACGAAGGGTTCCTACGGCAAATATTGCCTGGGAAGAATGAACGCTGACCTGCTCGCTGCCACCAATGCCGATGGTTATCAAGACCAAGCCAAGCTCAAGGGTGCCATCTGTACGGACTGCATCCGAACCTACTTCACGAACCCCGGTTTTGCTGCATTTGGCTTCAACACTCCTACCTTGCAAAGGAACCCCCTTGTGGTTCGACATTTTGGACAAGGTTGTGGGTTATTCTGTTTATTATGCCAACTTTGCATGCTTTTTCAAAAAATTCATTTTTTTAGTGATTTGTTCACAAACTGTGCTGTTGCTGTGCGGAAGAATTCCCATAAATACCACACACCTGCCCAAAGCTGCAAATCAAAGCCTTCTCTTACCTGCTCACAGCGTGGCCCAATTCTCTCATACTCGTTGTACAGGTATTTTCATCTCATCTCTGCTCAATGTTCTGCGCACTTGGCGGGTGGTTTTTCCTTGCTTTTTTCGCCCGGCTAGCTCAATCGGTAGAGCGCAAGACTTTTGATCTTGCGGTTGTGGGTTCAACTCCCACGCCGGGCGCGTCGAATATGGTTTCCTTCTGATGCCGATTCTTTCCATTCGAAAAGTCGTTTAACTATGTATCTTATTCCAGATGGTAGAAACGGAGGGGTTAAAGCGAAAAATAGAAGAGGTTGTAAGGTAAAGAAGTATAAAGTTTGCCTGAAGAAAAATGTTGGATTACAGTAAGAAAATTACAACGCCAAGACCACACAACCAAGAACCATAGTGAAAACCGAGAGAACAATCAATTTCCGTGGTGGCATAGCAGTAGAGGAAGCACCAGAGACCACACCCTTGTCCAAAAACGTGGAGCCGCAAGTTCTGGCAATCAGGTCAAGGTTGACCACCACGGCGGGGGCGGGTTCCTTTGCAGGGCAGGGAGAATTGAAGCCAAATGGAGCAAAACCGGGGTTCGTG